AAAATTCAAAAAAGTCTTGCATTGAATGTTGGCAGACATTACTTTTGTTTTCGATTTACATAAGTTTTATTAAAAGAGTAAGCATTTATTTCTCGGGTAATATTGATTAGATTCTTGAGCAATGATATTCTTCTTCCCTCAAGCCACACTTTTTTTCAACTCTGCCAATTATGATTAATGCAAATCAAACTTAATTTTTTTGAAGGCTTAGAATATTTAAAGAATTCAAGCTAATTCATCGATACCACACACACTATCTACCTCTCTGCCATTACCAATAGATTTGTTGGCATATATAAACTCAATACAATATAGTAATTAAAGAATTACTTTGTTCCTTTTTTTTATCACAAACATTAGTGAGCATATACATAACAATAGTTGTTAATACTACTACTTCGACTCTTCAACTGATGTTATTATATATTTCTACCAAGAGATATTTAGAACCTCTACTTAAAAATAAATAATAATTAGATCCTGTGACTTATTTCAGTGAAGTCGATGGAATAGTCTTGTGTTATTAAGAAGCTTGCCAGCTTCTGGAGCCACTTAGAATGAGTTTTCGTTTATCCTTTAATTTCTTCAGCAACTATTGAGGTCTCGGTAAAAATAGAGATACAGCCACAAATTTCTGCGCTATAAGAATATAGCGTTATATAAAATTAATTATTATTTTATATTTTCATGAAAATAAATCGTATGTCAGTTACAATTGGTTATATTGTATAATTGGTTAATTATATGGTTAAACTGCATTCAACATAATAATAACGGCAACTTCTTATATAAATTGTCACTTCAACAAATTTTAAAAAATTTCGTACACTGCATAAATGTTCGCTGTCGGGAATTGGCATTATCAATTGATATTGGTTTTAAGTCACGACTTCTGGTTAAACGCTGGTTAACCGCATGGAAAATGCATGCAATGCTTTTTACAGCAAAAAAACGTTGCATACTTTTGCGTCACACCAAACTATCCTGATATGTGGGTAACACAAGAGTTTCTTAACTTAATAGTTTTGTCTCTTTTTATGGTAAAAGGAAAATATTTAAATAATTTCATACATATTTTTATGTATTTTAAGTTTATTTCCCAGTTACACTATAATGAAACTTACAATTGACTTTTGCTCTTGTGCTACTGACCACAGTTTAAATGTTTTTTGTTTAAACTTTTGTCATTAAGGTTTGTATTTTAAATTTTATTTTTATTTATTTCACTCAATATTGGGTTTTGCATTTTTTGTTGTGATTATTATTGCTGCTACAACTCTCTTATGCATGTTGCTGTTATTTTTGCTGTTTTTACTCTTATTGCTTGTGGTCTTGCGAAACTTATAGATTACCAAACCACACATATATCCGCCGCTTTATTATTAACCATAAAAAATATCTATAAATATGCATCTGATATGTGTATACAATACTTTACAAATGAAAACTTGCTATGCTTTCCTTGTTTGCCCCTTCCCGTTTGCTCTTCTCAAGGATGTCATTACATTTCCGTTGCCGTTGCAATTATTTTTTCGCTGACTGTTTCATACTCACATATATGTTACAATATCCTTGTATACATACATATATATATATATATGTGTGTGTGTGTGTGTATATATATATGTGTGTACTAGGATATAAAAAAATGTTTATGTATATTAAAGCAATGTGCTTTTGGTTGCTTGTTGGTGCTTATGGTAGTAGTAATATTCGAGCAACGTTAAATTGATTTATAATTTTTATGCGCATCCTTCTTTATAATTCATTTCAAAAAGAAAAATTAATTCATGCAATTTTTACACAAATATTTCAAAAATTACAATAACAAAAATGCCTTTATAAAGAGAGCAAAAAGTATACATGTGTGTATGCATTTGTTTGATAGTGAATGTGCTCCTAGAATTGCCAAAGTGTTAATAAATAACATGGCTCTTCGAATACGTATAACTGCTTTAGCCGCCTTGATGTATTGTTGAAGCATATATTTTAATTAAAACAAATCAGAGTCAGTTGATAGGTAGCCAATTTTGATTTAAACACAAATTTCAATAAAATGAAATTTTAATTGTTTGTTAAACTTAGTCTTCACTTGACTAAGATTAGTTATTGTTTATAAATCAATAAAGAAAATATTTTCGAAAGTGAAGAGAATTTTTAAAAAATAGGTGTTCGTGAAGGGGTCTTTTATTTAAGAGGCAAAATCGAGTACTCACTATATTTACTTGCCTAGGTATAGTTCGGTTTTAATCTTGTCAAAAAAAAATATGTGCGTTATTATAAAACAAAAAACATTTTATGGTTTTGGACGCCATACAAAATGTTTGTACTGATATTCTGAAGTACATTCCAGTCAGCGATCTAAAGCACTAATTCAGCTTGCTTTTCTACTGTACCATAAGAAACAATGTATTAAGTACGAAGAATATTATTTGGAATGAAATAAATCAATTATCCTACAATCAAGTTATGTATGTTTTCTTTAGCGCTCACTTTGTAAATTGATACGAGTCAACATATTTTTAATATTACCAATACTTCCCATAAAAACAGTATCATTATCAAATTAGCATTTTTGGTATAAACGAGTTTGTAGTTGAATTATGTACTATGACAGCAGTAAGTATAAGACATTCCTGTAACTTAGTGTTTTGTTTATTTTCTCATCAGCTCATCAGGGTTAAGATACATTTCAACTTGTTTTGCAAATTGTAGTCACTTTCTTCATTTGTATACAGGTATCCGTCACCATTAAGAATTGAAATATGGTCATAGACTGCACTATAAGTATTGGAATAATTAATTCACAACTCCTATGCTAGGTTAATCTAATTAGATATACACCACGTATAAACCTATTGGTACTTAACCAAGCCAAATTTTATTAAAGTGCTATATACATGTTTAGGTAAACATTTCTGCGAATGAAAGTCTCTATTCGCTTTTCTTTCCACAAAAAGCGAGCCCCTAGAGCGTGAACTGATGACTGATTGCAGTCACCGTGACTGATTGCATTAAACTTGGAAAATGCAATCGCAATCTCTTTCGTCCTTAATCCAAGTACTCCCACAGTCTCTACGTGCTACCATTGTATAGTTAGCTAACATCCGATAAGTTATGAGGTAAAAGTGCTTGCAACATGTCCTATTCGAAGTTCGGATTAAGCGCTGGATTTGGCACCCGTCTTGTATAATTAATCGCTGACGAAGTACTCGTCAAGGTTATACCCCATAACGCATTGCTGTGGGCAATTGATGATTAAGGAAGGACGGAAGAAGGATGACTTTATTCATTAGGTAGAGCAATCAAGCATTTGTTAAAGCTTCTTTTTACACCTTTAAGTTATTGACTCAGATCTTAGACCTTTAAAAATGAACTTTTAAGTGAATACTTGATGCTTGGTTTGCTTGATCAAATTTTATTGTTATTTTCTATTTATGTATATATATCCGAAATTCATAAGTAAAAATCATAATCGTGTTTAAAATTTGTTGAATTAAATAAGTTAAACTGATTAATTAAACTCATCAATACATTTACTTTGTATCATATATTTTATTTCCTTAGTATTAGATATGTTTTTGCTTTAATGATGATAATCCATGTCATCTTAGATTAACGTTTTGTTCACTGTGAGTATTTATTTGTTTAACAGAACATAATTTGTACAGAAATGTTCGTAATTCATATTTGATTTCATTATTTATATGAAGCCGTAAACATTTTTGTCTATAAATTTTAAAACAAATAAAATCTCCTATCTGAAATGTTGACACTTTAATGACTATGTTTCTCTGATTTTGCTATAGCCACCAGCGTCCATCACAGATTTAGTCTAGACACAGGGACACTTAACTAAGTTTATAAAATCTTAACGGCACAAATAAAATCAAAACAACAAAAATGTTAAAATAAATTAGAATAAAAGTGAGTTTACCATTTCCAGCACGGCAAAGCACCAAATAAAATGTAAATACATAAAACCTTTCAGTGAACTTTTTGAAAAGTCGTTGTTATTTTATGATAACATCATAAAATGGTTAATTCGTATTTGTTACGTTAAATCTATTCAAATTGTTTCCACTTGTAATTACCATAAATTCTTGCCGGCTAAATAGATTATACGCTTGTGTATTTCCTTTGAAAAATTTCCCTCATACTTTGTTGAAATGGAAATAAGCAAAACCAACAAAAACGAGAAAAATAAAATGGAATAAATCGTACAATGGCGGCTCGCAACTACCGGCAATTGTTGAAGTTTTTATTGCAGCTTTTGGGCGCATTAATATTTTATCTCATTATGTTGCGCTGAACAATTTAATGGCTAATCAAGCAAACAGGTCAATACATTTGCAATGCCAGTAATGGTAACAATGCCAATAATGACAACAAAAATAACAATAACGACAGCAGCGTAAAGCAACAACTCTTACAGTAGTAGGCAGCGACAACAGCAACAACAGCAACAATTGCTACAATCATAATGACGTACGTTAAATAATCCACTTGGTATTTACCATTTCGCAACAATCGAAACGATTTCACTAAATTCATCAGCCGCAAATATTTGAATACAAATCATGCTTCAAAATGTGTGCACTGTCATGTATGCACACATAAACGCACACTTATACAAATCCACACAGATACTATATGCATTGAATAAATGTAAGTGCATGCTACACACAGATACACAACATTGTTGTTTTATGTTCACAGACAACAAACCATCAGCGCTGATATGCACGATTTCGCTTATAAACCTAAAATATGGGCTTAATTTTATAGACGTTTTGCTGTCATATATTTGCATATACCCACACACTCACATATGTATATACATATATATGCACATATATATATGCATACGTACATTATATTTGTACACTTATGTCCATTTGTATTTGTATATGCATTTATTTTTGTGCAACTGTAAATTCTAATATGTGCCAAAATGTCATGAGCAAATATGCAACAATGCATGAGAAATGTTAACGATGCGAAACGTGGAGCGGAGTAGGCAGTAAAATTTAGAAAAATTTTTAAAATTTTTTTTGCATGCCTTCATCCCCAGACGAACTGGCAATGAATGCCAAAGACTTTAAGAAAATAATTTAAAAGTTCAGCGATATTTTAAGGGAATATTTTTCTTCAGCTATAAAGATGAGTATAGCTAGAATTAGTAAACTTCTGCGCATAGACAAAACGTTATACTAAAGGATTCTTTCACAACAAAATTGCAGCACTAGGTATTTAATATTAAAGTTTCGAAGATAGTGTGTAATTAATAAAAATTTTGTGACATTGCATCTTATACATGTCGTAATGAGAGCAAGAATACCCACGATAAAATAAGGAAGTCCGACTGTCACCTTCAGGATTACTCGTTGTATTAAATAAGGTCATATAGTATACTTAGGTTAGACTTAGGTTAGGTTAGGTTAGGTTAGGTTAGGTTAGGTTAGATTATACCGGCGATCCCAAGTGATTCACTTCGGCCAATAGACCCATTGTGTTACCGTATAATTAAAAATTTAAGTGTTAGAATTACTTTGATAAAGCCTTTGACAAAGTTTATAAAATATGATAGACATTCGGAGTGGTACATTGACAAAACATAAGCCATTGATGAATAAACAATTTTCGGGTTCATACTATTGTTCCAGTTGTGTTACTTGCTTAGGTAATATATTGGTAGAAAATCATTTCAATTTACATTATTTTGCGTGGCGTCACCAGTAAGGTATTGTAATTGCAAAGTATCCGATATTGTATATCAATAAAATATCATTACTGGAAATACCTGATAGTACAAGAATGTCATTTTATACTTCCCCACCATTGCACAATATAACACGTAACGTAAAGTAACTTCAAAATATCCGATAACCGTAAAGACCTGGTAATACGAGTAATGTGGAACTTTTGCGGAACCTAACTGTTAGCTCAAAAAATCCTGTTTTCTTGTTTCCAATTACGTTGGATCACCTGTAACGTTAAGTAACTTCAAAATGTCGGATAACATAAAGAAATCCGTATGTGTACAGCGAAAACTAACTGTTAGCTCAATTTAGTTCTTGTAAATAAATTTAGTTAACCCAAATTTAGAATGACTTAAGAAGGGATTGAAATTTACTTTAGCGAATAACCACAGAACGAGTTGACAACTAAAGTTAATTACTTATAAGCTGGTTTGTTTGAGAAGTCTATCAATCTGTGAATTCTAACATTTCAACTGCTTTATAGTTGAAAAGCAGAAGTAGAAGTAAATAAATGTTGAAATTGAAATTGAAACTGTTAGCTCAATGAAGTGCTTTTTTTCAGCACTTATGTGGGATTACCTATAACATAAATTCTCTAATCTTTTTATGGTTTTTAATGCTTATTATTGTATGGATGGTACGTATGTTATAAATAGATATAAAAAAATATTTCTCTTTCGATTATTGTTGCACTTGAAAAAATTTTTAGTTTCTTTTTTTGTTTAAAAATGTAAGGATTTTATTAGTTCCAAAAAATTCATAAATATTATTATAAAGACTCTGTGATTCTTTTAAGTGTCGCTAGCACTGAATGCTTAAAAGCTGTATAACAAAGGACGATCATATACATATTCTGTTATAATGACAATATATTTTATTCATAACGTTTATTCGAATTCAAACATAATTCCACAAAACCGTTCGGCTTATAGAACATTAAACTAATTTAGAATTAGAAGTGGAGTTAATT